CATCACACAGAGTACAGTCTCATTAGTCCTGAGAAATGAAGGAAAAGTTGATTGTGACAAGATGGTAAGATGCAGTGTTATTGAGAGAATGCAGATACTGACTGGTCTGGTTAGCAACCCAATCACATACAAAAATAAAAAATGTTACGGATTTATGCAGATTGAGGAGATTTGAATAAGGCTACCAAATGCAACATAGCCCAAGGGAGTGCTGGGGAAAGACATGTCTAGACTTCCAACATCAAGGATATTTCCAGATCTAGATGCAAGCCTGTGATTTTCACAACACCAGTTTGATAAAATTTTAAACTCTACACCTTCACATCTCTTTTTGCTGGTACATTTTTAAGTAGATTTGCTCTGTGATTGTTTCAGAACTCAAAAAGTGCCGCTCCACAGAATTTTAAATCCTTTAAAAAACAGATGGAAGCAGCTATTTAAAACCTCTCGAGTTAATGTGATAATCATCAGCATTGTAAAAATAATAGCTGATATGTAGTTCAGCAGGTCTGGTTATCAGAAGCATTTTTCTTTGTATAGGCCTTTTATTGGTTTCCTTCTTTTTTTTTTTTTTCTTCCACAAGAAAAAGAGAAGAACAACTGTGTCAGCAATAAGCTCTATGTCAAATAGATTCCAGGTTTAGATTCCTGTCTGATATAGGCAAAGGACTTGAATTTAAAGGTAGAGCTTCATGACATGTTGCCTTCAGGAGTAAGACCAACACCTGAAGTTCCTCTGTATTGCTGCTTTTCCCCAATGCCACTTGATGGTCCTTTTTACTCAATTAGCTGGTGCATTCACTCATCTGCATGAAAAACAACCCCTTTCATATGCCCACAGGGACTAGTTTTAAACATTCTTCTTCACCATGTTTCTAGTATGTCCCCACAAAAAGTCTGTAGCGACCGAAATGAGAGTGGCAGGAAGTGACAGAAAAGGGAAATGTGGTAGATGATGCCTGGATATTCTTAAACGAGATTTTGCTTCTGAAGTCCCTATGTTGTGACACTGTGTTCTAGGTCTCTCGCACATCACATGACAACTGTACTTATAATTGGTTTCTAGACTGAGCCTCCTTTTGGACCAATAATTACTGAGTTATTTGAAAGCATTTTTCAAGTATCATTATGTGTAGAACTGAAGCAATTTCAAAGGGACCTTTTGCAGAACTGTAAATATTCTGCTTATCAAGCAATTCACCTGCTATGAAAGAAAATCACAGAGAGTTAAGATTTTACATTTCCTGCAGGAGTGTGCTCTCTAGGGAGGTTTTTAGCAATAAGATACTGACTGAGAAGGTTTTCTTTCTCTGATTTTAACCAGAAATTGTACACTTAACCCAAGAAATCTTTCCCTCAAAAATTACTGGATTAGTAGTGAGTGTCAAAAACGGATTCTGGTAATTCCTGAGTAATTCTGAGAAGGACATGATGACATGAATATAAACAACTAATGACTCATCCAAAACATAGGAAACAATTCTGAAAACATAAGTACATTTCTAAAGCACACTAAAGACTTTCTTAAAACAGTTGAACTTTCAAGAGCTTCTAAGTATAAAAATCACAGCAGCAGCAAGGTTTGAAGTAATCATGAGTCAAGTAATACTATTTCTGAGTAATGAGAATGATGCACCAAAATGATACCAACTTGTAAGTGATTGAAAGAGTAATTCTGTATGGATAGTTAACAGGGAAAGCCCAGAAGTATCAAAAAAAATTTTTTTGTGGGATCTATCAATGTGAAGTTGCTGCACGTATTGGAAGGTGGTATAAAAAAACTCAAAAATCATAATGCAACACAGCATGAGAGCAGAAATGTTAAACAGAACCCAGAAGGATCTATCCGGGTTTCGAAACATAAAACACTATATAGAATGTCATATAAATACCATTGGATAAAATAAAAATAGAATCTGCAACAAATATGGGAAAAGATGCAGAAGAATTGTTATTCCTTGTGAACCTGCAGCACAATAATGGAATAATTAATTAAGCTGGTAACTGTGGTCTTCATTTCTTCAGGGGATAAGGGTATTATATGAAGAATTGGATTTTACTTTTTGCCTCTCTCTAAACTCAGCAGCTAGATCTCTTTTAAAAGACCAAAGAAAAAAGGTGAATAGATTTTTACTTGAAAGTGAGTTGTTGCCCACCCTAAATTCCCAGAGTTGATGTTTCTGGCACTTGCAGTAGGAGTGTTGGCCAAATCATTCCTTCCAAGCAGAGCCCAGTTTCGCCTTGGCAGAAGCACCATATGGCAATGGGTGCCTTTGAGATATAAAGCCTCTTCAAGCACCACTGAAGTGCTGCCATTGCCCCTCTCCTTATAAGGGGGTGTAGCATATGCTCTCCTGACTAGCTGATTAGCACTACTTAGAGCTAAATAGCAGGAGGATCAGGTTTTACCCTTCCCTGTGTCTTTAGGATGGTGTATCCCACAGAGGAAGGCAAAAAGCGAGTGGTTTCTCACATGAAGGATGGAAAAAGTCTCATCTCTCCTCAAATAATGCTGTATCATATCTCTCAGATGCAATCTTGGATAAATCAGTATTCATTGTATTTAATCCACACATTTTTCTGAGGAAAATATATATTGACTGGGGACGTGATTTGCTTGTTTGATTGACATAAAATAGTCTGGAGTGTTATACATTCATCACACATGAGAAAGACAGACTTTTAGCTTTGTATTATCTTTTCCTTATAAGAAAAAAATTAGCTGTGCCTTCTTTATGCAACTAGAAGTAAATTGAGTGTAACAACATCATTGTAAAATGATGTGCTTTATCAAGTCCTGAATATGGTGCATCTTTTGTGTTTTGTTTCTAATTGTTTGCTCAATACAAAAGGATAATTCATTAGGCCAATTCTCCAAATAATCTCAAAGTGACATGAATTCCTTTGCAGAGTGAATGTCTGTAGCAAGTAATCCATGGAAAACAGACAGACGTCTCTTGTCATTTTGGAGCTCTAATCCACTGCCTGGAGCATGAAAATGTTCAGGATAACAAGTGTGGGAATGACCAAAATCAACATTATTTTTTTATTTTCTTTTCTTAACAATGCTGCTGATCAATAGAATTGCTGAATCTGGCAGATACAATGCCACGGGATTAATGAATTAAGCTCAGGAAGCAGAAGAATCTGTTAAAAAGGAGAGGGGGGAAAAGCCCCTTCTTTTCCACTGGTGTGTGAATATTAAGCAATGAAAGCAGCAATGACAGAACTTTAGCCCTTGCTTTACCATAGCATCAAGCCTTGTTCTGCATGGGTCTTTACATTTTAATTAGAACCATACTGACACCCGCTTTTTCAACTATGAACTTCAGTTTTAAACTTAAAACTATTTCCCAAATGCTGGTTTAGTAGCTAGGTCTGAACACAGAAATTCTGAGATGCTGTGTTCTGTAAAATTCAGGCTGTAGTGTGGTCACCATCAGTAGGACTAGATAACTGGTTTTCAAACCACAGTAAATAATGATAAAAGGAAGGAAGAGACTCTCACAGAAATGCCATAGCCTCTGTCACCACAAAGTACTCACATACTCTGTTTTCTGGAAAACCATAGAATGAAATAGAGGTCATCACACTTCCTTTGATGATGCCAATGTTTTATAAAGGTCGATTGCCAGCGTTTTTGTCAATACAGCATTAGGAGTGTAATACAGGGCACATATCTGTGTAAGACATTACATTCCAAAAGGCACATTACGTTGATATTCAGCACAGCATGGAAATTTTAATACACTATCATTCACTAGAAGGGGGTTGTTTGAATATGTGGGAGGAGAGAGCTTAAGTTTGCTTATATGTTTATATTTACAGCTCCTTAAAGACCTCTGGGGATTTTGTGTATCCTATTGTTTAAACAAACAAACAAAAATCACTATCTAGTTTCATTGCCTAAAAATATATTACAATAATCACAGTCCTAGAAATCGGGAGGTTTGGAACATTTTCAACTCATAAGAACACTTCAGAGAATATGCCGGTGTAATTTATGAGCCCCTCTAGACCTGTCCATGTCTTGAACTGATTGTTGAAGTGGGCTTTACTAGGAATTTCTTTTCCTGAATTGGAGTAGTGCAGGAGGTGGAGAGGACGGGAGGGGTTAGAGCAACCTTCCCTAACAAGGCTTTAAAAGCTTCAGTTGTAAAGTTATGCTGATGGAGAGACTTTGTTACTTGTTAACTGGGAACAACCCGAAGAGGATTACACTACGGGCAGGAGCTGTTATTTATGTGGGTAGCAACGTTGTGGGTTGTGTTGCGCTGTTGCTTTTGAAGGGGGGACGCGCATCTTTTGATTAGACCCGTAAAATGAAATTTTAAAAGAAAAAATAAAACAAACAAACAAACCCCCAAACCAAACAAAAAAACCCAAACCCAACAACCTGGACAATGACACGAAACAGCTGGTGAAACGTCTAGCTCCGTGCCTTTCCCCAAGCTCGGTGGAGGTTTCTGTTCTCTCATCTCTGCCGCGATGTGTTCCTTTTTTTTTTTTTTTCTTTTCTTTTTTTTTTTTTTTTTTTTTGCATTGCATGGGCTGTGACAGCCGGGGAAGGGGAAGCGGGTGGAGGGGCGGTAGGGGGGGGTAGAGGGGGGGTCGATCCTCCCGGCGCTCCCATTGTCAGCCGCTCCCGGGAGCGCGGGCAGAGCCCGGTGTCCCCCCGCGCCTCTCCATGTGCGCGGGGAAGCGCGGGGCCGCCCCCGCCGCCCGGGACGCCGCCCGCGCGGCGCGGAGGCGGGGCCGGCCCGGCCGGCCCGGCCCGGCCCGGCCCGGCCCCTGCCCCCGGCCCCGCGCCGCCGCGCCGCCCGCATCATGCCGCCCCCCCCGCCCGCACGCCGCCCGGGGGCTGCCTCCTTTTCCCGGCCCGCGGCGTGTGCGTTGAGAGGGGCTTGAAGTTGCCCCGGCGGCGGCGGCGGTGGCGAGCGGGGGCCGGGGCGGCAGCGACAGCGGAGCCACCCCCATCACCTGTTACCTCCGCTCCCCAGGTTGCCTGAAGTTCCCCGGCGCGCGCCCGGCAGGACGGGGAGCGCCACGGCTGCGGCTGGCGGGGACCCTACAGTGGCTGCTGCAGCATGGGCTGGCTCAGGGGGATTGCCTTGCTTTCCTTGGGAGTATTACTAGCGGGAAGAGTCAACTGCCAGCATGTGAAGAATAACGTGCCAAGGCTCAAATTATCCTATAAAGGTAAGTCTGTTGTTCTCTCTCTTATTCTCGGTTTTCCTCCAAGCCCTCCTTCTCCTTGCCCCGTCGCTCCCTCCCTCCCCACCTTCCTCGCTGCTTTTCCTTATCTTCCGAAGGGGATATTGGCATTAGGAGAAATTTCTGAAAAAATTTACTCGAAAAGCCCCTCCGTGCTGCGGTCGGCACCAGGCAGTTTAAACCCAGACAAAGAAGAGTTAGTTGCGTTTGCAGACGAGGACTCCGGATCGTGCTGATCCCTGTTAGAGCATTTTTCAGTCTTGCTCTATTTCATTGGACTTTACTCTTTAAAACGATGAGTCGTGTTTGGCTACCCAGCTCATCTTCCCCGTGCTGGGCATGCAGTGCAGCCACAATCCCAGATTTGTTTTAAACAGCATGGAATAGATGATGATTTGTGTTTATTTTATTTTTTTAGGCATGAAGTGGTTAATTTTCAAGTCATGAATATTCAGTTTGTACAAATCTGACAATCAGATGCCTAACATAAGCAGTAGATGGTGGGTTTGCCAAGAAACTATAAACTGAAAAGAACAGATCAGTCCAGAAAAGGAGGAGAGGACTGCTAGGCACCAGAAAACGCTGCCTATGGATGTTTAATGCAGTGCGATTTATTTGAACCAGCGTTGTTTTCGGTGTAGTCTGATGTGTGTCATAAGAGATCACAGGGAAGGTGTAACTGAAGAAAGAGAGCTGTGAGATTGCGTTTACGTTTGAAATTGTGTAATGCCACTCACACTGCAGTTGTCAGTAATTAACTTTTGTATAGTAGTGCCAGTATTAAAGGAGAACAGTGAAGTAGACAGGCTCTTCTCTTTATCAGCATAGTTCTACTCTTAAGTACATTTTCAGAAGAATTCACCAAATCTAGAGAATGTGCAACTGGGAAAGAAGTTTAAAATGTAAGAGCTGTAGAGTATTTTTTCTAAAAAGGAGAGCGATACACCAAGGTGTATATACACATCTCTCTCAAGAGCTGCCTCCTCATAATTCTCAGATTATTGAAGGCTGAGAGAAGGAGCAGCAGCAGCAGCTACGGTTCTGAAAGGGGGGAGGAGAAGTAACACACTGCTTCTACAGCAGGGAAAAAGAGAACATGTGTGTGCATGCCTGGTCATAGATGTGAATCTCAGTTTACATAGTGTCACTACATCTCTTGCCAGTAGAAATACGTTTTCCATTTTTTTTTCATCTTTCTCGTGCTGCAAATGAGAGAGGGGAAAGTCCTCTCTGATACAGGGCAGGCGTCATTTTCACACTCCAGATGAAAAAAAAATTAAGCACCTGCAAAACTTGGATGTGCTGCATGAAATAAATGCGTGTGCTGAGTTTTCTTAAAGAACGTGTATATGCATATTTGTGAGTATTTAAACTTGAAAATACATGTATGAAAAGAACACTTTAAGAGATTCAGAGTCTGTTAATTTGATTTTAATGAGAAAAAACATTTGTATTTAACACAAAATTGATTATTTTGAGTAATGGAATCTGAAGAAAGCTTCTACTGTAACTACATGTCATGTCAAAAAACTCATTAAAAACCTCTTAATTGCTTCCAAACTTTTACAATCATACTGAAACTCAGATTATTATATAGAAGCATAAATACTATAAAAACATACTGTAAAGGGGTTTAATAGCTAATTAACTATTGTGGGTTTTTTCACCTTTTTAAAGTTTATCCATGGCTCAAGTCTGCTACCCCTGCTCATATTGGCTAAATGCACAGAAACTGATTTCAAAAAGTGACCAGATGTGACTGAGAGTGGTTTTCTTCTTTTTCCTTTTTTCTTTTTTTTCTCCTTTTTTGTTTTCCTAATTTCACCCCGCTGGCGCTGTATCCTTATGCAGTTTAACAGTATTTTGCTACTCTACTGATTGGTTGTTTTCCATTCTGCTCTTGCTGGGATAATGGGTCTAATTTTCATTTTTTAAATATATGAGACGTCAAATTTTGATATATGGTCAGTCCTATATGAGCAAAACAGGAAACTGAAAGGAACATTGAATCTGTTTTATACGTGGTGGATCACTGTGTACCAAATATGAGTTCAAGTGCTGAGCAAGCCTATCTAGCAAAGATAGTAAATGCATAGTTAATCCAAAGGAAGTTAAAAGTCTGAAGACTTACAGAAATTCACACTCTGGCCTTTGATTCACATGTTTGACTTCAAACATGTAACTCTAAGAATCAGATCAGACTACTCACATACTTAATGTTAAGTACCAGTGTAAAGGCTTGGCCAGGTCAATAGGAGCTTGTTGCTTGTGCTGCTGCATTGATCACTGAGTATGGGGATGTCATTGTTAGTCAGGGAAAACTAGGCTTTGTCAGCTGGTGCTTTTCCAGACAAATTTTGCTTCTAGCGAAGTATTCAATGCACAGATCAATGTTAACACCGTGCGTAGGAACATCTTAAAAGCTGTGGGTATTGAAAATACGTCTTTTAGGCACTGACAGAATGCCTCACATGATAATATGTATCTCTCTGGATATACCTCACAGCTGTGTGACTATGTGATATCAAGTGATTCATCTCTATTTAAACTGCTTGCAAGTAGAAAAAGAAGCTACCCAGCTACTTACCTGTTCCTCATCTCCATGAAGAGATGTGGTTGAGTAAAATAAACTTATGATATTGAAAAAAAAAAAACGCCAACCATGCAGGTTGACAAGAATGACTCAAGTGACTTCACTTTTCTGTGACTGTCATTGTGCTTTCTTTTAAGATGTGTGCTTGTTTTTTACCTAAACAAATACCTTGAAGCTAATTGTCGGTGCTTTATTTCAAAAGAAAATCGAGGATGTATTTTAACTTCTTGTTTGTCTCGACTAATTAGATGTCAAACATGGTTAAAAAGCTCAGGCATTTGCTTTAAAAGTTAGTGAAATGAGTCATGAAGGGTTAAATCCCTGCCAGACTTGATTTCCTATGGTCACTTGTTTTCAAAGGCCCAGTATTAGCTCTGCCGTTTCCCAGGTTGCTGGACAGAAGTTTTGGTGAACTCCTGTTCTTGCTTCCTCTTAACTCCTTGTCACTCAGTCTTGCAGAAGATTAGAAGCATCCTACGGGGCATGTTATGGATAGGAAGAGGAAGAGAAAGTGTATAAATGCATATGTTAGGACCACATCTGCGGTCTGAAAAGGTTCCTTTTGTTTATTGCAAAACAGAATTTTGGTTATTTGGTTTACATCACTGTGATTTTGGTGGCATATTAAAGAAAATTTGAGGAGATCACTAGGGAAATCTTTGTCCAGCTGACATCTGTGGTGAAGCTCCTGTTCAGTAGCTTCAGGGTTTTGCTCTGTACTTTTTAAAGTTTCCGAGCATTTTCATCTTTGTGCATGAATGGGAAAGGTTTTACTCAGATGATATTTATCTCCTTATTTCAGTCAAAGGTAATTAATATGATTAAAAGCCTGATCCAAAGTTCATTGAAGTCAGTAAGTTCTGGATCATAGCCTAAATGAGGTAAAACTAACCATAAACCCGAAAGCTCAGTTGAGCTCTTCAACCTCTGAGCTCTTCTTTTTGTGTCCTTCAAAGACTGTGTCCTTATTGTAAAGTAACAAGAAATGTCATTGTTGATATGTCAAAAGTAAAGGAATCTTCCTTTGAAGAATGTAGGGGGCTTGGGTTTTGCTTTTTTTTTTTTGTTGTTGTGGTTTTTTTTCTAATCTCATGGACTTCAATTCTGATGTCGGTTTTAAGTCTCTATACTGTGTCACTAGGTCACAGATTCTGTTCAGGAAACTTCTACTGAGCGCAGAGTTCTCAGAAAGATGGTGATCAAGTTGAGTGTGCAAAGTTTAAAACAATAAATATAGCCTGAACTCCAGATGGATTTCTTGTATCGTTTATTGTTTCCTATTTTCTTTTGCTCTCCTCAGTATGGAAGGGGTAACAGCACAAACAGAGATGGAACCAGCTATGGTAACCTTTAAATATAAACAATTAAGCCCAAAGAAAGAGAGCGTTTCCATTAACAGTTCCTTGATTTACGGATTTTTTCCCAAGGCAACCCTGATTTTTGTCTCCAAATGAAAGTTGTGAACCCAACTTTCTCAAATCCATCTGTCATGTCTTAATTGTCTATTGAAAATTACTAAATGCTGTAAGTATGTTTTGCAAGAGTACATGTGTGGTTCTCCTCTGTTATTGTTGCTCAATTGGATACATATTACTTGAGAAAAAGTAAGTGGAAAAGCATTGCGCGCAGATTTAGCTGTATTACTCCCTGGCTCCAATTCAAGCCATGTTAAATGTAAGTGTCTTGTTTAAAGTTGCAGTGATATTGACAACTACTCCATCCTTGATGTGCAGTTGATTTACAGTTTTATAGGATGGATTTTTTTATCCGGATGAAATCCTGGCCCTAGTGAAAGCAATTGCAAAACTTGTGTCCGTTTCAATCTGTCCAACGTGCAGTGATGAGGGAGGAATGGCACTGCACTGAATTACCTGTACGTAGACTGATGTAAATATGATACCTGGCTTGTAGTTTGTTGACCCAGTCTGGTTGTAGCTGATGACCTGCCGGTGGGTTTGATTGTGGTTTCTCCTTTCCATCAAACTCTATAACTCACAGTTCAATACCTCTTCAAATATTAGGAAAGCAGGGCAAAGTAGGAGAAGGAAATGGGGAGAGAAATATTGGCAAGGGAGACTGTTTCTCTTAAGTTGGGACCAGTATTGGAGTTTCTCTCATATTTCAAAGTATCTGCTTAAAAAACCTTTGCTTAAACTGTGTTGTAAGAGTACTGTCTGAGGGAAGAGCCTCTCTGATGTGCCTGAAAGGGAGAGAAGGACAGCCCCAACTTAGGAAGAAGACTGTGAAGAAAAGTAAAATGGAGATTTGCATCTTTGGCTTCTACTGTTTCTGACATTTCTACCCAGCTCCAGAACTCTCAGACCTTACTGTTCAGTCAGTGCAGGAGGCTGGGGGACAGTGAGTATATCAGATGCAGCCACAGCCTCTTCAC